TAGGGCTGAGGATGTGGAGGCCCTTTATCTTTCAAAAAACTTTATCTAGTTGGCGATTATCAAAACATTTTCGGTTCCTTTCACCAAAAAATCAACTTTCAAAGTTCTGACTCTTTGTGTACCAAAAAAGAAATTTCCCAGCCGAGGCTTCAGATAAGAAAAAACGATCGCGATGCCCCGGGATTTTTCACAGGCCAGGCGATGGGACAATGCAATGGAGTCAAGCCTGAGCTTATTGAATCACGCGATCTAGGAAATTAGATTTCAGTAGTAAAATGGGAAGGAAACAGAAAATGGCTTTTTTGAGAAAATGCAGTTTGTTCTCAAGCGGCGCTACCGGTTGGACTCGGTTAGGTCGATTTGGACTCTGATGGATGCGATTTTTCAGGGTTCATCGAGGGAGTGACGGTGATTTGTGATGGAGAACACCTAAAATTTCTAATTAATTTATTGATTTGTAGACGTCGCGAGCTCCTGATACCGATTATACCCAAAGTTTTTTCAAATCCCTTGACGTGCCACAAATTCATCGACTCTTGAAAAAGTACTGCTGCAGCTGCCTCACTGACCCATCTCTGACTGCGGCAGCACTGATACACTGAAAAACCCATCAACAACAACAAAAAACACAGATCAAACAAACCCAATAAAAAACTCACACCCTCTTCACCTCTATCCCTCCCTACTAAATCAAAAAACCGCCTCGGTGGGTGCCCGGTGGTATGTGTCGGAGTCACCGCCGCGCCTGACTCTGCTCAGCCCAGAGGTATATAAACGGCTACTTCCCCAGAATTCAGATTTCGACAAAAATCAGCATGTTTAGAGCCAGAGCCGTGGTACGTGCAGCCAGACCGCTCCAGCTCCGCCTCAGAGCCGCTCCCAGAGCGCCCGTGGCCGCCTTTATCAGCAGATCTCTTGCTACGGCTAACACCCTGAGTGCCAACTACCAGCAGGTGCACAATCCCGCCAAAGAAGGTCCAACTTACGGCGAGTTGGACACGTTTGCAAGAAGACACTTTGGTCCTACTCCCGACAATGTTGCCCACATGCTCAAGTCGCTTGGGTACAAGGACATGGACGAGTTTCTCACTGCTCTGATTCCCCCACACGTGTTGGTGAAGAGACCCTTGAAGGTGCTGCCCCAGGAGGGTTACACTGAGCAGCAGATGCTCAAGCACTTGCACGAACTTGCCGGCAAAAACAGAATCGCCAAGTCCTTCATTGGTAAGGGCTACCACGGTACCATCGTTCCTCCCGTGATTCAGCGCAATCTCTTGGAGCTGCCTGAGTGGTACACCTCCTACACGCCATACCAGCCTGAAATCTCTCAGGGCCGTTTGGAGTCTTTGCTCAACTACCAGACCATGGTTTCGTCCTTGACGGGTTTGGATATCGCCAATGCTTCGCTTTTGGATGAAGGTACCGCTGCTGCGGAGGCCATGGCCATGTCTTTTGTGAACCTGCGTTCCAAGAAGAGAAAGTACGTTGTGGACTCGAAATTGCACCCCCAGTCCTTGGACGTGATTGAGTCTCGTGCCAACAACCTTGGTGTTGAGGTTGTGGTGCTTCCATTGACCACTGAGGAAGGTGTAGCTCAGCTTGAGAAGATTGGCCTGGAGGTCTGTGGTGCTTTGGTCCAGTACCCTGCCACCGACGGTTCTCTCCACAACTTCTCCAAGATCGGTGAGATTGTCCACAAGAACAAGGGTCTTTTCGCCATGGCTACCGACCTTCTTGCCTTGACGGTGTTGAAGCCTCCAGCTGAGTTTGGTGCCGACATTGCCTTGGGTAACTCCCAGAGATTCGGTGTTCCATTCGGCTACGGTGGTCCACACGCTGCTTTCTTTGCAACCACACAGAAGTTCTCCAGAAAGGTGCCAGGCAGAATTGTCGGTGTCTCCAAGGACAGACTCAACAAGCCTGCTCTCAGATTGGCTTTGCAGACCCGTGAGCAGCACATCAAGAGAGAGAAGGCCACCTCCAACATTTGTACTGCTCAGGCGCTTTTGGCTAACATGGCTGCCATGTACGCTGTGTACCACGGACCTGCTGGTCTCAAGAACATTGCTTCTCGTGTGTACGGCTACACCACTGTTCTTGCTGAGGCCATTAAATCCTCTCCACACAAGCTCCTCAACGACTCGTGGTTCGACACTTTGTCTGTGGAGGTCAATGGCAGTGCCGATGCCTTGTTGAAGGAGGCCTTGGACAAGTACAACATCAACCTTTTCAAGGCCGGCGAGTCCTCTGTTTCCATTGCTTTGGACGAGACCGTCACCAAGAGCGACCTCGAGGGTTTGGTGACTCTTTTCACCGGTAAGCCAGCTCAGCTTCCTGAGAACCTCCCAGAGATTCCACAGAGCCTTCTCAGAACCGACGAGATTCTCCCCAACGAGGTTTTCAACCAGCACCACTCTGAAACCGCCATGTTGAGATACCTCCACTTGTTGCAGTCCAAGGACTTGTCGTTGGCCAACTCCATGATCCCATTGGGCTCGTGCACCATGAAGTTGAACGCTACGGTTGAAATGCAGACCTTGTCGATGCCCGGTTTCGCCTTGATCCACCCCTTTGCTCCTACCGACCAGGCCCAGGGCTACAAGGAGTTGATTTCCGAGTTTGAGCACGACTTGAACGACATCACCGGTTTCGCAGCCACCACCTTGATGCCCAACTCCGGTGCTCAAGGTGAGTACACTGGACTTTCGTTGATCCGCCAGTACCACAAGGCCAACGGCGACTACGAAAAACGTAACATCTGTTTGATTCCTGTTTCTGCCCACGGAACCAACCCTGCCAGTGCTGCCATGTGTGGTCTCAAGGTGGTGCCCATCAAGTGTCTCGACAACGGTTCCATCGACATTACCGATCTCAAGGACAAGGCCGAGAAGCACAAGGACAACCTCTGTTCCATCATGATCACCTACCCATCCACCTACGGTTTGTTTGAGCCTGGTGTCAGAGAAGCCATTGACACTGTTCACTCGCACGGTGGTTTGGTCTACTTGGACGGTGCCAACATGAACGCCCAGGTTGGTCTTACCTCTCCAGGTGACTTGGGTGCTGATGTGTGTCACTTGAACATCCACAAGACTTTTGCCTTGTCCCACGGTGGTGGTGGTCCAGGTCAGGGTCCTGTCTGTGTTGCTGAGAGACTTGTTCCATACTTGCCAAAGCACCACTTTGTGGACACCCCACACGCCACTGCTGAGTCTATCCAGGCAGTCAACTCTGCTCCATTCGGTTCTGCTGCTGTCATTCCAGTTTCCTACTCCTACATCAAGATGCTTGGCTCCAAGGGTCTTCCTTACGCTTCTGCTCTTGCCATGCTCAACGCCAACTACATGCTTCACCGGTTGAAGGACCAGTTCGAGGTGTTGTTCGTGGACCCCAGAGCCACCAAGGAACAGGGCACCAAGCACTGTGCTCACGAGTTCATCATTGACTTGCGTGAGTTCAAGAGCGTTGGTGTCGAGGCCATTGACGTTGCTAAGCGTTTGCAGGACTACGGCTTCCATGCTCCTACCATGTCTTTCCCAGTTGCCGGCACCCTTATGATTGAGCCCACCGAGTCGGAGAACTTGGAGGAGCTTGACCGTTTTGTCGAGTCCATGTTGCTGATCAGAAAGGAGATTGACGCCTACGCCAAGGGCGAGTCCCACGGCCAGGTGTTGAAGAACGCTCCTCACTCTCTTGCCGACATTGTTTCCACACCCCAGGAGGAGTGGGAGGCCCGTGGCTACACCAGAGAGCAGGCTGCTTACCCATTGCCTTTCTTGAAGACACAGAAGTGCTGGCCTACGGTGGCCCGTTTGGACGATGCCTTTGGTGACATGAACTTGCTCTGCACCTGTCCATCTGTCGAGGAGGTTGCCAACGAAAACTAGTTTGTACAATAGATCACAATAGAGTGTAATAGGGATATGGTTGTAGGTGGTTTGTATTTGCGTTTTACTGAAGAATTCCCGAAGCATGGTGATTGAAGAGATTCAGCCAAGAGTTTGTCGATCAGCGTTACTGGAATCCAGGAGGCTTACGAGAATTGAAGAAGAATGATTACAGCCTTGCGGTATTCCAGAAACCTTCTTGATATGTGAAACATGGTGGCTTAAGGATTGGCAATGTCGTTGATCTTCACGAGCATGCAAGGCAATTTATGCTTCTCAGCATAATTGAAGAAACTCCCGACAAAGGGTTGACAAAGGAATCTAGAGCAATATAGTAGAAGGCATTCGTGAATTAAGATTTAGACAAGGTTGTTGGCCCAACCTTCTAAAACATACCAATTGAAAGAGAGGGAGTCAGAGACATTGATCGACAACAAATCAGCAATCTTCGTCTGTAAATCACAATTCTTGTGGTTGCGCTTCACCCTCGTCTATCTCCCAGAATTCCAAGTTTATCCGATCCCGTATATGTCCGTTTAGGCGCCGTGCCACATAAGGTTTGTGCATCTGGAAACCAGATCCAGCATTGTGTTTATCCTCAGCTCAGATCTTCTACAACAATTCATTCCTAAATATGCTAATCCCGGTTATCTCTCGTCTTGATCTAAATCTATGCTCCTACGGTCTATGGACTTCCGAAACAGCCGCCGTGCATCAGCCGATATTGGGCAACCGCTTTTTGGGGGTACCTTTGCAGGTCAATGTCTCAGATGGTAGTAATAGAAAACCGAAAAGCAAAGTTTTGTAAGATCTCCAATTTTCACTGTAGCCTAAACCTTGAGATGCATACAAGTCGCTGACTCTTATGGTGAGAGTCCGTAGCCGCATTGAACACGAATCCTCAAAAACCGTAAGTTTTAAGGATATTAAGACAAGATCTTGGAATCTCTCAATAAATAAACCACTTATATCCCCATACAACATCACCACGTCATTCTTTCCACAGAAAGGGTAGGTTGGGTCCGACCTGCACACTGGGCCACCTCCACGATATCAGGCTTCATCAACTCACCAACTCCAAAAGCTCAATCCCATTGCCTTTTCCAATTCACAATGGACTGGCAGCAACTCAGACCAAAACGCAGCTCCCTTTCGGGCTTGTCTCAACAAGGCTCCTACACTCTGTATCCAATTTCCCCCAGACAAAACCAGTCTCGCTTTGCTTATCCCAACTACCCTGACGAACAGACCGTCCAGGATAATGGCAGCACTCGAGCCTCGTACTACTCGTCACAACACCCTTTGTTCTGCGCAGATTGGGTGTCTACTGATCCCACGAACGATTGGGTTGTTTTGAGCTCCTTTAGAGAAGGCTACCTGAATCGGGTTCAAGTCGTGCACGGACTGCTATACAACAACAAGGAGGACCCTGAGGATCCAGGGATCGTTTCACCTACAGTGCTGGACACTAGCTCGAGCTCGGAGGAGCTGAGAGCGAAAGATCTGCCCTCGTGCGCTGGAGGAGCTTTTGATTGGACCAATGTCGCCGAAACAGCTGTGGAGTACCCACTCACCAACGTCCAGTGGGACCCGCTGATGACCAGCCTGGGCGTGCTTCGACTCGGAGCGTCGTCCGAAGTTCTCAGATTGTATAAGGTGGATCAGGATCCCGATAAGCTCAAGATGGACGGAAGGTTCCCCTTAGTGCAGACCCATCTTCTAGCGAACAACTCGACCGCCAACCTGGCCAACGGGGACGTTCAAGATATAAACACTTTCCCGCCCGTGACGTCATTCGACTGGAACAAAGCGGACCCCTCTATAATTATCACCTCCAGTGTGGATACCACATGCACCGTGTGGGACCTCAATCGCTCGCACTCACTCGGCAAAGACAGAGACACAGCACACGTCAAGACGCAGCTAATAGCGCATGACCTGGAGGTGTTCGACGTGAAGTTTCTCCACGAATCAACGAACGTCTTTGCCAGCGTCAGCAACGATGGTTCTATGCGAGTGTTCGACCTCCGCTCATTGGAGCATTCCACCATCATCTATGAGCCCACACGAGCCCCGCCTTTGGCATCTTCCGTGCCCACAACCGCCCAGGCCCACTACAACCCGCAAGCGTTGCTCAAGCTCCTGACGTCCAACGTCGACCAGAACTACTTGGCCACCGTTGGCGTCAACCTGAATCAGGTGCTTGTGATAGATATGCGGATGCCGGGGCTTCCTGTGGTGAAATTGGATTGCCTGTTTGGTGGTATGAGCCAGGCGGCGGTGAATACCATACAATGGCACCCCAGTACCAACTGGCTTGCAACGGCAGGTGACGACTGTCAGGCGCTTGTGTGGGATCTCACGAGCGGCAACAAGGAGGTGGGCACAGTGGTGGACACGCCGGCGATGGCGTACACTGAGGAATTAGAGGTGAATAATGTGTGCTGGAGAAATAACGGCGATTGGCTTGGAGTGATCAGTGGAAAAGGATTCCAAGCTCTACAGACATGAAGGGCACACCATGCATGGAAGCGTTGCAACAAGGCTGCATAGAATGCAGATAATGGGGGATGACATCATTGATCCGGACCCCCCAGCGGCGGTCATCTGCGATCGGGCATGCCCACTGATCTCATTGGGTTGCAAAACCCGCCTATTTTTGGGATTCTTGCTCGGGCCCGTTTGGCTCACAAATGTCGCTTAAGCACCGTAGGAGGCTTTCTGGCGCCTAAGCCGTGCGCACTGCTGCCACGAAGCAAACCGGCACGCAGATGTGCTGCGAGTAATTTGCACCCAAGCAGGGATGGCCCCCCAAGGAGAAGCCCAGAGATGCAGCCGAGCAAAACCCCACGTTGGAAAGAATGGAAATTTCGGGAGAAAAAAAAAAGTTTAAAAAGGCTATTTCCAAAGTCGAACGGCCCCATTATTTAAGTTCTTGCCGCCCGCAGACCAAGCCGCCGTGGCGTAAGCACAAAGCCAGAAAACCCCTGGATCCCTGATTCCTTGTACCCACGCAGCTGCGTGTCGCCAAAGCCGTTTCGGTGGTTTTGTGGATGTTTTTCCTGTGTTTGGTCCGTCCATCTCACTATTCCGAGACACTAGCAACCATCGCACAGGCACGCCGGTTACCTCAAGGCACTGCGAGTCGTAAGCGCTGGCAGGGATTATATCAGGCGGCGATCCCCCTGTTTGAAATCCTGAGTCCTCGGTTTTTCCAGTCCGTTCCCTCCACCTTACGGGCCCCGACCAGACCCTTTTAAAGGCCTCTCTGCTCAGTCTGGCCAGGCTGCCCTGCTCTGCTCTGCTTCTTGTTCCCGCCGCGCGCCAAACAAATGTCCCGGTCTGTTATATTTAGTGCCCCCTTCCCGCCGCCAGGCGATGGAACAAATACTGCCCTTCGTCCGCGCAAGAACAATATCGCTATTTTTCAGAGAGACGTTTCCTCCGACCTCAACCAGACCGCCCTGACCACCCAATCGTTCCTGCTGGGCCCCACGTTCCCGCCTACGACTACGCCATCGCTGTCTCCAACTCCATCCTCCATTTCTTCAACGTCCTCATCCACTTTCCAGCAGTCTTCCGGGTCTCCCCTGTCCTCCAGGTCCTCCCAATCTGCCAGCATTTCGGTTCCACAGACTTCTTCCCAGGGCTCATTTGCGTCCTCGCCCACGTCCTCACTGGGCTTTTTTTCCCTGTCCACCGCCCCAGGGTCTCTTTCGCACTCAGATAATTATAGCACCTCGCTCCTGCTGACAATGTCCTCCGTGCACTCTGACCCTACTCCATCCACATCTTCGTCTTTCGACACCCCCCTGCTGGAAACTCCCACTTCCTCCTCGTCATCCTTCACACTGTCGTCTCTGCCGACGCTATCCCTGTCATTTTCATCTCCCACGTTGTCGTCCCTCACACTGTCCTCCCTGGCTTCGCCCACATTGCCTCCTTCCTCGTCCTCGTGGTCTAGCCTGTCGTCATCTGATCCTTCTGAGCTGACAATGTCGTCCAACACCACGCTGCTGGAGCCCCTGCTGCTGAGCACGCCCCTGCTGTCGACGCTGGAATCGTCGTCCCTGACCCTCCCGTCGACTTCGTCAGAGCCCACGTTTGAGAGCTCGTCTGAGACATCTCTGTTTGTCCCGTCATCAGAGCCCTCCTCGTCATGGGAGCCTCCCCTGAGCTCTGACCCCACTTCATCTTCGTCATTTTTTGCATCTTCCACTTACTCAGAGGAACCCTCCTCGTCTGAGGAGCCCAGCACCAGCTGGAGCGAGTCGAGCTCGTTTTTCCCATCCAGCACTAGCGAAACCACCACGGAAAGCACGAGCCTGTCAAGCTCGTCACTGTCTTCGAGCTCATCTGAGTCGTCTAGTGAATCCTCGCTGTCGTCTAGCCTGAGCTCGAGCCTGAGCCTGAGTCTGAGTTCAAGCCTGAGCTCCAGCGAAACTACCTCGGAGCCTGAGTCTTCTTCGTCCTCATCCTCAGCGACATCGTCTGAACTGCATTCTATTACGCTGTTTACGTCCGACTCGTCTGAGTACGCTGGCTACTACTCTACAGTTAGTGTCCTTCCAGACACGACCATCACCACTTTAGTCGCCGTGCCTACTTCTGCGGACAACAGCGACTCTGGTGGAGGTACGTCACAGCGTAACGCTAAACTTATTGGTGGCCTCGTGGGTTCCATTGGTGGTACTATCTTGATTGGTTCGCTTGTTGTGCTCTTCTTGTTCCTCAAGAAGCGTCGCTCAAGAGTCACGAACCATTCTCCAGATTTTGCCGACGACACTTCCGGCGACTCTAACGAGAAGTCTGGATTCAAGAAGCTCTTTGGCATCGGTGCCGGTGGCGCTGCTGGTGCGGCGACTGTCGATTCCTACAACGATCTTGAAAAACACCTAGAGTCTAGAGCTGCCGTGTCTGACCCCTTCCTTGGAGGCGGAGTCGGTGGCCATAACAATGCTGCCCACGATACTTCGGACGATTTTGCATACCGCGGTGTCTCGAACAGCAATAACCTAGACTCCATCTTCCACGGAAGCGGTACCGCGACGGGCGGGAACTCGAACGATGGAACTGGCGGGCTCAATCTGAGTTCTGCCAGTAACAGAGGACCGGGACATTCACGCATGAACTCTGACGTGAATCGGATGGACACCATGCCCGAACATTCGTATGATTACGACCAAAAATATGCCCTGATGGGTGCTACGCATGTACGAGAACGGCTGTCTGAGTTTGAAGACGAGGACCTGTTCTTCCAAGCACACAACCATGCTCCTCTATTGGAAGGGGAGAACCATAGCAACAATTCTCGACTGAGGTTTTTCGAGGAAATTTAGCATACAAAAAGTCATTGGGTAATACCGTTTTGTTCTCCATAATATTTTAGTAATTGTTTATTTTAAAGATGATCGACATTTGTTTGTTTGTGGCTCGTAAACCTTGTATTGTTTTTACTTTTTCTCGAGGACCCAGATTCAAGGAGCTTCCCGATTCTAACAATAGATTGTGCAAGATAAGATACGAAGACGAATAGAGGAGACGACACTTTGCCGTAGCACGTGTGGAGGGGCTTGAACTGTTTACTGGGGAAGCCATAAAAGCCTCCCTAATTTTCATATAATCGGGCTTTGATAAAGGGAGTTTACGATGGAGCAGCTTGATTGGTCAAAGTAGACGATATTGAAAATAAGTGAGTGAGTGGTGCTTAGAATATGTCGCCCATGGACTGTTAGCTCACGACATTGCTAGGGTACTCTCAATGAGTCCATTGTAAGAAATCTTAAAAGATTGCAATTGATAGTTTGATATCACACATCTTATTCACGTCATTTTGATGGTATATTCAAAAGATGCTTGAGTTTTTAGAAAGCAATGCTTATGTAATTTGCGGTGAAGAAGGTGTTCGATGCAATGGCTGCAAATCTCACTCTCCAGGATACTTCCTCTCTGTCACTTCAAACACACAAATAAAGAAGTTTTGATAATCATTGTTCAAAAGGATGTATGAAAACTCTACATGAAATCGAATTTGGTGTCGTTCTCCTATGCTTTTTCTCTCGGGGCTTGTTACAATAGTGGGGCACCCACAGCTTGAGACTACCCTACTAAGACCTCACTCACCATGTACCCATACCTAACACCAAAAGGACCCACAACAGAACTCAAAAACAAGCAATCCTCCAATAATTAAAATCATTTTAATCCCCCTCCATCTTTAAATGTTCACTCTCCCCCTTATTCCCTTTTCCTCTATGGTCCTCCATGGCCCCAGGAAACTACCTACTACTTCGCGGCGCACCATTTTTTTTTTCACCTACATCGTCATGTCTGCCAAAAACGTATTCGTCAAGTTGATCGTGGGCGCCGGACAGGCGGCACCGGCTCCACCGGTGGGTCCCGCTTTGGGCTCCAAGGGTGTCAAGGCCATCGATTTTTGCAAAGAATTCAACGCCAGATCCGCCCACTACGCTCCAGGAACCCCGATCCCAGTTCTCATGACGATCAAGCCAAACAGAACCTTCACATTCGAAATGAAACTGCCTCCTACGTCGTGGCTCCTTATGAAGGCCGCCAAGGCCGACAAGGGCTCCGGAAGAGCCACCCACGAGTTTGTGGGAGAGACGCTTTCGTTGAAGCACATATATGAGATTGCCAAGATCAAGAAGACCGACGAAAGACACAAGGACCTCTCGTTGCAGCAGATATGCGGAGGCATTATTCTGACTGCTGAGGCCATCGGCGTCCGTGTCGAGCCATAATGTATGATAGACCTGTAAATACACGAAATGACGAGATAACTGTAGGGAGAGTTTTGGTTTGATCATCACAGAACGACTTACCAATATTTAAGTAATCAAGGGTTACTGAAATTTGCAATCGTTTCATGTCTCCAGCAGAATATGAATGCCCACTGCAACTAGATCAGCCAAACTACACCACCTCAAATAATGCAAATTCTCTATACTATATGACAGGCGGTGAATGCTACTTCTTTTTGTTTTTGTCAAACGCCGCTATGTGGGCCTTGGACTGATCCACGGTGGTGTGCTCATGGTCACTACCCTTGAACACCTGGTAATCAAACAGACCGTCGTTGTTAACGCGCTCTTCAACTGTGCACATGGCGATGCTGTTGAGCCAGTCGTCTTGGAAACACTCCTCAATGGAGATACGGCAAGCTGGTGCCAACTCAACCATACGTCCTATCAAAGGACGGCAGTCTTCAGGCAATGCAAGTAAAAGACGCCCGAGTCCAGTCTCGCTTGATGTGTGAGACATGCCTTCGCCCAGCTTGCCGTCGGCTGTGGGAGATTCTAAAATATCACCGGCATCAACCTCATCTATCACGGCGCCAAGCTCAGGCATGCTGAAATTGTCAGGCGTTCTAACAAGCATCTCGCTCAACGACTTGCCCTCTTCACGAGTAGCGAAAAGCTTGAAGCTGTTGTCGATCATCTTTGGAACCTTCCAAGGAAACTTTTTGAGCATCATGCAACAGAAGATGATAGCCACGGACCAAACGTCCACTGGTCTAGGATCGTACTTGTTGAAGACACATACCTCTGGAGCAAGGTAGGGATCAGAGCCCACAATACCCAGAGCCTCGATTAATGTTTTTGAAAATGGGTACGAGAACACCACTGCGGAGCCGAAGTCAATGATCTTTACAATACCACGGGCATCCACAACACAGTTGTCGAGCTTCAAGTCTCTGTGTGCTAAACCCATGGAATGCAAGTAATTGATACCCGATAAGATCTGCTTGAAGCAACAGTTGATCTCTTCGCGAGACATCTTGTTTGACATCACAATAGCAAAAAGATCAAAGTCACAGTACTCCATGACCTGAAGTATTCTCTCATTCTCGTAGCAAATTTCAACGGTTTCAATAATATTAGGGTGTTTCAAGGTCGAACCAATGCAATACTCACTGGTAATCTTTTTGGCGTAATCACGCTTCGTCTCGTTCTGATACTTCTGTCTGAACTCCTTCACGGCAAAAGTCTTTTTGTCAGCTAAACGGTTCACAAGTCTGACGGAACCTCCGGCACCAGCGCCAAGGTTCTCTCCGTATTTACTGTATCTCTTTGAGAATGGCAACTGCTGTGACTGTGAGTTGGTGAGGCCGTTTATAGATCCTCTTCTGTCACGAACCATTGAGGGAGTTCTGCTGATGGAAGAAGAACCAACAGCGAAACCAGTCACTGGAGATTGAGAGTAGGAAGACTCTGAGACATTGGATCCGCCTGACTGGCTGGGGTATGCTGAAGCAAAAGAGCCAGATGCTGGGACACTGCCGGAGTGAGTTGAGCGCATAGAAGTGGACATTTTGCCAACTGGGATAGGTTGGGATGGAGACTGGCCCTTTTTGAAGAACCTTTTAAGGTTGGCCATGGAGCTATGCTTGGATGAGCTGTACATGTTAGCAGAGTCCGCAGATGAAAGACTGGATGGAGACGTGCCCATTGCAGCGTGTTCGTTGATTGGAGTTGGGTTGTTGTAGAACGAGCCAAGATCCGTGGAAGAGCCCTTGCCTTGCAGATTGCCCTTGTTCTTCGACGAGAAGAAAAATGAAAGACCCAGCTGAGAACCCTGGCGTCCTGAGCTGGACAAAGAAGCTGCTTGGGCCTGGGCTTGAGCTTGGGCTTGAGCCTGGGCAACTCTCTGTTTGGAAATGACAAAACGTGGCTCGATGGTCATTGAATTGACCTGCGGGGACGAAAAGTGGATCGACAGGATGGGCTGTCCGTTTGGCAAGTTAGGTACATGGTCTGAAGACTCCGAGGAGGCGCTGTCGTTGCGCAATGCCTTGGAAAGATTGGAAGAGCCATTGGCAAAACCGTTTCCCTTGTAAGAATTGGCGGCGTGTTCCGTGCTAGCTACGCTGTTTCCACGACCACCAGGTGCGCCATATGGAATCGACGACGATAAACTCTCTGAGCCATAGCCTCCCGTGGCGAAAAATGAAGTATGCGAGACCGAGTTGGTTCTGTTGACACGGGGACTCTTGCAGTCTGTCGGTGGTCGTATGGGCTGATCTTTGGAGCCAAATGAACGACCAAACGGGATATCACGTCCTTGTTGGGCCAGGTCAAAACCGCCATTGACCACCACTGGAGAGGAGCCTGTTTCCACGGCTTGGGCCACAGGGGCGGCGTTTTGACGAGGCAGAATGCTGCTACCGCCCACAACGCCATTGTGTTTCAACTTGTTCAGCGCATTGATCTGAATGCCGCTATCGTCGGAGCTAGTATTGTGGATTCCAGGCGAAGGGGATATTTTTGTATCCAGGAAGCCAGGCAGGTTCAAGCTGGTCAGGGATGTGTTTTTCGAGGCCACATTGGAGTTTGATTCGCTCAAAAGCTTGGTTAACGAACTGACCGCCTGTTGCGGGTGTTTGGCCTGGTTCGGCCCGGGTTTACTGTCCGTCATGAATCTATTATAAAGTGGTTATGACAAGAACAGAAGGGAGTATGGCTGTATTTGTTACAAGCAGTTTGTTGATGGGACCAACGGTGAGTAGGTGTGGGAAACGCCGGCCACTGATGTGTGAGCAGATGAGAGATAAGTGGCACGTGATCAGACACAGTAGCCGAAATGTTTCCGTGGTTTGTGTGCCTATTGTCGTGGGCAGCGATTTCGCGCCAAATGTGTCAAGGGTTGCTTTGGTGCTATCTGCTTTGCTGCTATTGGGCGCAAATCAAGATAAGAGGCGGGTAGCCGCGGGAGTAAAAAAGGCTGTGGGAGGCGGGCGAAGTTGTGTGTTTTTTTTTGTTTTGTTTGGGTTTGTAATCTTTATGATTTTTTCGTCTTCCCCTTAATTTTTTCTGTACCCGCCAATGCCGGTCTTGAAAACGTTCCGCAGCCACACAGTTAGGGGCCACAATGGCAACCAGAGCCGCGCAGTAGCGGTATTTGCGCCAAAGCCAGCGGGACCGGGAGATTGAGATAAATAAAAAAGCCGCCGGGCAGCTTTGCCCAATGCATGCCTTGTGGCTGCCTGCCTCAGTCAGATCACAAAATAGTCAGTATAGAACAGAGATAAATTGGCCCTTCGGCTTCGGAGCGGCATCTTCCGAGCGACAGAGTCACTTTTCGCACCCACCTACTCATCATGACCGTCTCCGTTTTGTGGGGTACTCACAATGCCTTCCCAACCACAAAAGCTTCTCGAGGAGATAGCCAAGCCATGCAGGGTGGCACCTCTAGGCCCTTCGGTCATCAACTTGGTTCAGTTGCGCCGAGGGGAGTTAGGGTTTATGAAAGTGGGCCGACCATGGTGAAAAGGAGACATTTTGCAGCCATTACCCTGAGCAAGCACAATTACGACTTGTTATGGATGCGGCTGTTGATCCTTTCGACACGGTTGCATTGTTGCCGAGGGCATCCAACCTTGCAGCTTTGAAACTTTGTGTAACCGCCTCAACCAAACCTCTTCATCTCTTTCTAGCCTTGCCCTTTGGCTTGCTTCCGGTAGACTTGGGAGTATGCTTCTTCTTTGCTGCATCTACACCCTCCTCAGGGAAAAGCGGCATTTCGCCCAGCTGCGACAGAATGCCCATGCTCTTACGGATGGCATCCAACTTGTACTGCAACTCCTCCTCCGTCTGCGGCTTCTCGTGGACATCCTCCTTCTTCTTCTGCTCGGCCTCGGCTTTCTTCTTGTCGATTCCGAGCTTCTTCTCCTGCTTCTTTCTCTCAATGGCAGACAGCTTCTCCAATTGCTGAATGTGCTCGGCAGTCTTTGCAAACACTTCATCCTGCAACACCTCGTCCGTCAATTCAGGCCTGGTCTTGGTCAAAATCTTACACTCCTGAATGATATTTCCGCCATCCTGTGCTCCCAACATTGGAGCGTAAATGGCAAAAAGAAGCGACTGGACGCCCTGGACGGTATCCTTGAAGAAAATGTACCAAATAGGGAACAAAAGAACGTACAAAAACAAGCCCCAGATCGTGCCCATGGAGATGAAACGGCGGGTCGATGGCGACCTCATAATGCCCGGGTTCACAATGCTCACCTTGACATTGCAAGGCGCCTTGTCTTTTCTATCGTAGCTGTTCAACTCACGCTGGAACGAACGGCCAAACATTCCCAATAGAAGCTTGGACGTTCCAAACACCTTCCACGGCGAATTGACCGGGTACTGGCGGAAATCCCAGAGAAGATCATCTTTATCCACCAGACCTGCTGCCTGCGAGGTACATGTAGTTAAAACGACTCTCACGTCACGATCTGGCGGCTGAACGTGGAGAGAAGGCTTGAGAAGCGTAAGCAAGTGGTAATGTGCCAAGTAGTTCACGGCAAGCTGGGTTTCCACGCCATCCACAGAGACCTGTCTGTCTCTTCCTCTAGGAACACAGTCAGCAGCACAGCAGATGACACCGTCCAAACGGCGGGGTGGCTGATTGTCGAGCCATTTGGTAGCGAAAAGACGAACCAGATGGAGCGAGTTCAAGTCACAGTGCTCGGCGTAGATCATGAAGTTGTTGGTCTTGTCTCTGAGGTCCTCAATGAACTCGACCGTCCAGGCGTCATCTGTGGATCTGGACAACAAAATAAGCTGGGCTCCTTTATTGGCTAGCTCGTACGCAAGCTCTGCTCCGAGGCCCGAAGTGCCGCCTGTGATGATGTAGACATTTCCATGCAACTCTCTTTTGAACGTGTTGGAAGTACCAGAGAAGTAGTATTTTGTAGCAGCGGCCACGGCAACGGCTGGGCCATAAGTGGTCAAGTAGTTCCAGCCTGGAATGGCCT